GGATTTGCTGTTTCCATACAGAAAACATTCAACATTCACTGGCCAAACATTTTTATTGTCAGCTGCAAAATCTTTATCTTAAAACAGTTTTATAGGAAATTCTGTCTGAATTACTAGCATTATGAATTAACATTATTTGCATTCAGATCATTTATTTATATTCAGACTAATGTCCTCATCTTTGTTGTTATTATCACCTGGTTGCTTTCTGTGTGAATTTCTGGGATGAGGAGTTATCATTATTTACATCGTTGTTGTTAGCCAATTACAGACTAATCTCCAACTGGAGTGAAACATTTTCTTGTGAATTTGCTGGTATAGTAATTATGGGTTCAATCCCTGGGTTCAGTAGTAGATTCTCAGTGGGAATATAGTAAGCTATAACTGTGCAGTACTAAAAAGATTAATTGTTTTTTTTGTTTTTTTTTGTTGTTTTTTTTACAGCTTATCAACCCTTTGCATATTATTTAATATATTTTGTATTGTTGGAGGTTGTTTATAACAAGCAGACTCCCCAATTCAGAACTAACTAGGCTCAACACAGCTTTTGTCATTGAGTACTAAAAAGAACACATTGAGATATCCTTCGACATGGACAGAAGAATGAGAGAAATCTATCCCTATAGATTAAATAAAATGTTCATTTCAAAATTCCCTGAAGGTTACCCAGATCAACAACACCTGAAGAAGGCCAGAGGGCACAAGAGTCGAAACATTGTAATAATAATAACAAAGGTAAGAACTTTAGTTCAAATGTAAACAAATGTTCAAAATTCCCTAAAGGTTACTCAGATTGTAAGACATTTGAAGAAGGCCAGAGAGTACAATGACCAAAACATTGTAATAATGACAACAAAGACATTAGTCCAAATGTAAACAAGGGGTTCATTTCAAAATTCTTTGTAGATTATCAGACAACTGAAGAAGGCACAACAGTCAAAACATTGTGATAATAATAACAAAGATGAGGACATTAGCAGTCCAAATGTAAAAGGGTTGAGTTTGAAATTCCCTGAAGGTTACCTGAATTAACGCACATTTGAAGCAGGCTGGAGCTTACAATAACCAAAACATTGGGGTAATAACAACAAAGATGAGGACATTAGCAGTCCAAATGTAAAAGGGTTGAGTTTGAAATTCCCTGAAGGTTACCTGAATTAACACACATTTGAAGAAGGCTGGAGCTTACAATAACCAAAACATTGGGGTAATAACAACAAAGATGAGGACATTAGCAGTCCAAATGTAAAAGGGTTGAGTTTGAAATTCCCTGAAGGTTACCTGAATTAACGCACATTTGAAGAAGGCTGGAGCTTACAATAACCAAAACATTGGGGTAATAACAACAAAGATGAGGACATTAGCAGTCCAAATGTAAAAGGGTTGAGTTTGAAATTCCCTGAAGGTTACCTGAATTAACGCACATTTGAAGAAGGCTGGAGCTACAATAACCAAAACATTGGGGTAATAACAACAAAGATGAGGACATTAGCAGTCCAAATGTAAAAGGGTTGAGTTTGAAATTCCCTGAAGGTTACCTGAATTAACGCACATTTGAAGAAGGCTGGAGCTTACAATAACCAAAACATTGGGGTAATAACAACAAAGATGAGGACATTAGCAGTCCAAATGTAAAAGGGTTGAGTTTGAAATTCCCTGAAGGTTACCTGAATTAACGCACATTTGAAGAAGGCTGGAGCTTACAATAACCAAAACATTGGGGTAATAACAACAAAGATGAGGATGAGTCCAACTTTAAATAAAAATAATTCCTCATTCCAAAAGTTTAGAGAAAAGAAAATGATGTTAATTGAGTTACATTTTACCTGAAGACAAATCATCAACTTATGAGAATTGCAACTGAGAAATTTATGAAGTGAAAATAAAATGGTGAAGAATTTCATTTTTTCTTTTTTTAAAGAAAAACTAATGTCTTGGAATTGTGAAGAGAATAAGAATTGCTTAAAATAGTTTGAATGCTTACAATTCATCTACAATTAAACAGAAATAATTTCCAGCCTTTAAAATATTAAATGAACCATGAAGAATAAGAAGTTGAGATGATTTTGAAGTTAAATCCATTTTTTGTTCTTCTCAGACTCTAGGAAATTTTAAAGTCTTGAAGTACAAAAACCTGAAATCATTTAAAAAAAGAAAAGATTTTTAATCTTATTTTTGTTTTTATTGAATTCTTGACAATTATCCAGAGAAATTATAAGATAACTGCTTCTAAGTATTTGAAATATGCAAATGACTGGGTTTTTTTTAGTCACCTGCATATAAGAAGAAATTTTTAATGGCTCTTAAAAAATCGAGTCAAGCATCTATGCATAAAAAGAATTTATTAAAAGAGATGCACACCTGAGTGCACTAAAAGAGGAAATGAAAAGTTGAGTTCTTGCAGTTACATCTATATAATAAATTTGAATGTCAGTGTGTCACACTTTTTCAACTTTACTCCTAGAGGTTGTAGTCCAACATATGATGCCATTTTGGAAGCAGGCCAACTCCATGAGCAAATTAAAAACATTCTGGGCCATATCTGGACCTGCAATCCTAAAATTTTGGATTCCAAAGTTTTTATTACTGTGATTGTATTCAGAGAGGTTTTTTTACGTGATTTTTTGCAACAAGTTTTTTTATACAATAATAATTTTTATAACTTGAAATAAATTTGGGAAGAATTGAAATTGAGAAAGTCACCCATGAAATAAAAATAATTGTTTGTACGGAAAGTAAGGACCTACATAAATTGTCTAAGTGGTGGCAGAAGAATTATCATTGAATTTTTAAAAGGTAAGCTTTAATATTAATGCAATATTTAAATGCAGTGATCAATTTTGAGTTCTTCTGCATTTTATCATTGCTCCTCCCTACATATTGTGATGAAGGCCCAATAAAGAGCCCTCCACAGGAGCTAGCTTAAATGCCACCCAATAGCAAAAAATAAATAGGGTGGCTTTTAAGCTAGTTAAGAATAATAATCGGCGAATTTATCTGAATCACGAAAGCCAACTGAAATAAAAATAACACAAAATAAAGAACTTAGGAATTTTTTGCTATATATATATATATATATATATATATATATACACACACACATGCAGATATATACAGACAGATGTAGCTTAGAGCAGTGATTCTTAATCACTGTACCGTAGCAAACTAGTGTTCCACATGGTCCTCTTAAGTGTGCCATAGAATATAGTCACAGCATACATTTGTGTGTGTGAAAAAGTAGTAAATTAACTGCATTAGTATTTGAATAAATGAATAAGTATTAAACTTTTTTTCAAATAATTCTTTTCACTATTCTTCAATTACTTTATTTTAAATACTTTGTTTTTAATACTCATTTTTAAAAATTATTTTTAATTTAACTTTTTAAAATTTTTCTTTATTTAAATAAATGAATATGAACCTTTTTTTCATATAATTGTATTCAACATTCTTTGTTTAATTCAAAATTTTTACAAAGTTATATCGAATTATGAATTAATATTGTTGAAGTTTGCAATATGCAGCATAGAACATTTGATTTGATAATTTCCTAATTTTTTTAAATGTATTTTACTCTGAAATTTGGATAAAATGAAAATGACATTAATTGTACTGAAATTGTTTTTGTCTTTTTTATAGTAATATTGCACTTTCGTGCACACATAATTTGAGATGGGGTGCAGATAAGTTCAAGGAGGGACAATCAGTATATTGTTTACATAAAATGTGCTCATCCATTTGGAGGGGGGTGGAGGCTACCCTTAGTAGACTTCAATAAAGAGAGTTCAAGCATTAACAGTGTGAAATGGCTTTTGTACACCCATTCACAATGGATAAATTTCTTAAAAACGTCTTCGCTTAGTGTGCTCTGGTATTTTCATTTGCTCCTATTCTTGTATGTGCCATTTCCCTTTAGGATGTGGGTAATCCTAGCTCTCTACCACTTCCTATCCTTTGTTTTTCTTAGTGACGTTTGTCTTTTCACCATCTCTTCCAATCCTCGTTCTGCCAGCCATTGACACGATCTTGTTACATAGATTACTCACAGTTTCTATCTGCTCCTCTTGCCCTCAATATGCCATGTGAGTGTAAAATTCTCCAAGCCTTCTTTCCTTATTATGTATCCTAGAAGTTTCAATTATCTCTTTCTGATACTAAGTGTCCTTTCTGTTTCCATTTTCTTTAAAGCTACCTCATTACTAACATGCTCAATCCATATTCTCAGCGTCCTTCTGTAGAACCAGATTTCTGTTATCTCCTCTTCATCTATGAGGAAATTATATAGGAGGATTTATAGTTCAGTACTCTTTTCTCTGTTACTAATGAGATTTTCTTGCTTCTTAATACCTTGTTTAGTTTTTGCTATTCCAGTGTACTTAGACTCTACAGTGATTCAGTTTGATTCGAAAGCACTCAATAGATACATTCTCCAAGCCAAAGGGTTACAGATCTGAGACAATGCCATGATAAAAGTTTGTAATAATTATTCTTCAGAGACATAACATCAAAAAGACAGACAAACATGAAAGAATAATATAATCTTTGATCAACTTCATTTATGGAGATTATAATTTGTTGAGGACAAAGATGAATTTTCAAACATTAAATGTTATACTGAAAAGGAATTAATAAAGGAAAATGATAGAGGGAAGATATCTGTATAAGCTATGCATCTAGAGATTCTTGACAAAATCCAAAGAAGAATCTGCAGTGTTATTGATCCTGACCTGGCATCTCAACTTCAGTTACTTTCTCACTGCCATAGCATAATTTCCCTGTGCTTTTTCTATAAACATTTTTATGGTAAGTGTTCTGATGAACTTTCCTCTTTCGTATGTCAACTTCATGTAGTACTAGATTGGCAGTTAGGTCTCATCATTTTGCTGTTGAAATTGCTGATGCAATCATAAGTTCTATTCTAATAGTTTCTTCTCTCATACTTCTCTCTTGTGAAACTCTTCAACCTTATTTCTTTCCTGTCAATCAGCATCTTCTTTTTGACATTGAAACACCAGTTCCCGTATGATCACTGAAGTTATGCAACATCAAGCCTGGTCAGTATCTAGATGGCTGACCACTTGAGAACACCATGTGCTGTAAGCTTGGATGTGCAGGTGGTGGAATGGATAATGGTTTGAAATTGTTAATCAGAGAGCCAAGTTCCAATTCCTGTTGGGTTCATTATATTCACTTACAAGTAAATATCCTTGAGAAAGGTATGAATACATCTCTTCTTCCCCCAACTATGGGTAAATTAGTAAGACTTGTATCACTAAACTATTATCTCAAAAAGCAAAATTCTTGATCTAAAAATATTTTTTGGCTTTAAATAACCTGTAAAAGGGTTGATAAATCATAGAAAATGAATTAATAAAATTCTGTCTATTTGAAAGTTGTCCTTTTATTGTCCTTTCTCCTCAATAATGTTTTCTTGGTTTCTTTTAGTCTTGCATCTTAGTGGCTTTATCACCTTGCTTTTGGCGAAATTATTAAAAGAAAGAAAAAGCTGTCGATTTTCTTATGTTTTCAGACTATTGCCTAAGTATATGACATATCACTCAATCAAATACTGGATTAAACCCCAAATTCAATCAAGTTTTCTTTGGCCCATCGCCCACTCTTCCAAAAAGGATTATTGAAATTAACTGGAGAACTTCTAGGGATATTGTATGAACAGATTGACGAAAGTAGGTTAATACCCAACCTATCTTCAATTTGCATGAACTTTAAACATTTTCTGAAAATTTAATTTTGCCAGTTCTTTTTTTCATTGACAAGTATTATAAAAGGGATTTTAAAATAATGGTTATTTACATCCATTGTCATTATTTATTTGCTAAATATCTGGTCACTGATAACAAAAGATTAGTAATTCCTGGAGATTACATTAAAATGGTAATGTATTTCTATTTCTGAAACTATTAAATAAGATGCATAATTCCAATAAACGATCTAATAATGTTTATTATTTTGTTGCCATATGTTTAGGTTTAATTACAATTCTAATCACCACTTTAAAAAATAAGCATTGCCGAGGAGTGAAGGTAGATATATTAATAGTGGTGTCAAGGGAAAAACCATCCTTTTCTCATTTTACTTTTTTTGCAGGCATTTTTACCCCAAAATTATTTAACCTTCAGAAGAATTCTTAAGTCTTAATATAAAAAGCAAACAAACTTAGAATTCTAGTAAATTAATTGCTTGTTAGTAAAAAGATTGCAATCAACATATTTTCAGTGATGGGTGTTTTTTTTTTAGTAGCTGTTGGGTAGGGGGAATGCTTACTCAGTTTTTTTTTGTATTTTTGTTTTTTTAATTCACAGCTGGAAAACAGAAATGGCAGATGAAATATTACAAATACAGTTTATGCATGAACAACCAAGAGAAATTCCTTAGCCAACAAAAGAATTTACGTATTTCTTTCTCTGTTTTATTCATTGGGTTTGTACCTCTTTTCCACATATTTAGATACCTACCTGGCTAGATAATCCTTGTTGCAAACTCCTGCTCAGGCACAGAGCTATCTTATGGTTTATGCTGAAATTATACTGAGTGACCCTTAGTTAAAGTTTCTGTGAGAGAGTGCATAATCTGGCATCATCAACACTGAACAAGTCCAGTACACTAAAACACTCAGTCACAATGACTTGTGACTTCATGCTAGAACAAGCATTGATTTAGGTTTTATCACAATTCTAATCGCCATTTTTTAAAATAAACACTGCTGAGGAGTGAAGCTAGTTAAAATAATAGCAGTGTCAAGGGAAAAACCATCTTTTTGACACTCCATTTTTTTGCGAGCACAAAGGTCAAAGTTTGCCACTTTTTTTAAATAATGCTAACCTCCAGGATAGCAACTCTTTACACCTTCTTGGTATCACATTTTCCACTGACATGAAGTGGAATGTTTATATTGAATCAATTGTGAGATCTGCTGCTAATAATGTTGGTTCATTACCGTTCGAGACAATTTTTCTCAACAGAATCTATTTTACACATAAGTCTAACATTGAATATTGCTGCTTTCTATATGTATTTTGAGATTCTTTATATCCATGGACAAATCTGAAATGTTATTGATTCTGACCTGCCATCTTGGTTGCAATCACTTTCCCACCACTGCCATAACACAGTTTTTCTATAAATTTTGTATGTAATTGTTCTGCTGAGCTTTCATCTTTGGTACCTTGAGCTTGTACACAGCACTAAATTGGTGGCAAGGTTTCATCATTTTAAAGTTGAAAAAGTTCTATGCTAATAGTTTCTTCTCTCGCACTTCTCGCTTGTGGAACTCTCTTCTAGACTCTTACTTTCCAATCATCATCTTCTGTCTTCTTAATTCCTTTTCTTTTATTGTTCTCTCTTCTTAATGTTTTTCTTTTTCTCATATTCTTTCACACTCAGTGGCTTTATTACCTTGCTTGGGTTGAAATGATTAAAAAAAACTAAATAACCATTAATATAAGAAAATAAATAAGTAACTTAACACTCAAATGTGCTCTATAATACCTCCCATACAATAAATAAATATTTAAAAACAACATTTTAATATATAATATTTAAAAAAAAAAAAAAAAGAAAAAAAAAGAAAACAGTGATAAAAACAAAAAAGTCAGAGATTGAATGAAATTGGCTAAATTGTATATCTACATTGGATGACAAAAATTTAAAATTTAGTTTTAAAGTTAAGCGTTTTGGGATTTTCGGTATTTCTCTTGATGTATAATTATAATCAACATTTGTTGTATTTCATTCTCTTCCACGACATATATGATTCCATCAATTGTTGCGGAGTAGCTGACACCCCCCCCAACAAGATGGACAGGTCTAAGACTATTTAAACAGCACTCTCTCTTACTGAGGGAGAGGAGTTAACGATTAACTTTTTATTACTTTAGTCTATGTTCTCAACCATGTACCATATTATTCTCCAGAATAAACTACTTCCTACTTTCTATGTTTGTCAACCTTTCTTTTTACAACACAACATCAATAAAAACATTATTTATTCTGAATAAGTTCATTTAAAGGGACAAAACACATCACATGGATTTTTTTCCATTTTGTCATTCATTTACTCGCAGTAAATAAAATAGATATGCTATAATTTCTACAACTACCACAAAGAAAATCTTTGCTGCTATCATCTCTGGTTTCATCAATTGCAAAATTCATATAAAAATAGAAATTAAAAATAAAATTCACATTCTAAATGTTTTTAAAGACACAGACATCAATATCCCTTTATTCCATGAAAAAAAAAGATGTGTTCAGCATTCTCATCATTAAAACAAATTTATAAATATAGTGCAAAATTTTAAAAAAGGAGAACATTTACCAAAAATGATACTCATAGTATACAGAAATTGTCCTATAAATATTAAATTTAAATTAATTTTTTTTTATCACAATTTCTGTTTATTAATTTTGACAAGTCTGTAAAATAAGAAATTCAGACAACTTAAGGCTATTTCATCTATTTACAATGCATTTCTATTTCTACAACTGTTTCTACTGCATGGATTGCAAATAAAAGGACTGAATGTTGTGATGAAAACAATAAAATAAGATAATTATGACAATGCTTTATCTAAGAAATTCAGACAACTAGAGACTATTACATCATTTTACAATGCATTTTTATTTTCCAAGAGCATATTTCCATTAAGAAAAAAACTATCCTCTCATTTCATTCAGATAAAAATTGCAAATGATTGAAATATTAAGATTTTTATTATAAGTTATTGATCTCCCTGAACCTAAAATATTAGACTTACATGTTCAACAGTTTAAAAAGAAAAAATACATAGTCAGAGTTTCAACTGAAGAAATATATATTCAGAACTTCTCAAAGACAGAACAAACCTTACGTGTCAAAATAATCTCTTGGGATCATATGAAATCTTAAACATCATATTCTGTTGAATTGCAATCGGAGACATTTATAAATTTATAGAGCAGAAAATAAAGTCATATTTTTTATAAACTTTGCATAGCAAAAATAAAGAATGATGTTTATTTGTGAAGTGATAACAGTGAAAACATTAAACTCTTAATATAGTTTGTGTGGCAGTTACAAAAAAATAAAAAAAGTATTTTCCAAATAGAATAAGCTCCACTCTTTCAGTTAGTTTCCTTCTTAGTGGGTATGTATCATAATACATCCCTGTCCAGATGTGGACCAAGTGAAACAGAAATAAATAAAATTAAAAAGAAACTTTTCCCATCACGCAAAAAAGAAATTAACAAAAAAAGTGAAAGACCTTAATGATCTGAACTCAATCAAAGAATAATTCCAAAACAAGGCTCTTTCTTATCATCTGCCTTGGTGGGCATTAGACAGAAAGACATTAATTATCTGACTTTGATCCCAGAATTCTAAAACAAGGCCCCTCTCTCTTATCACCATGTGCCTTAGCTGGGATCTGGACATTACATATGACTCTTAACCTGAATCTGGACATTAAATCAAGATAAAAAAAACATCTACAAATTCTTACAGTGCATTCCCCTAAAATACAGTGCCCATCTACTACTCTACTTGCATATTACAGTTAGTACTCAAAAGAGAACCTGTCATGTAAATTCCCACTGTAATGGAGAAAACCTACCATTTCTACATTTGTGAACTATGAACAACATATGAGCCAGAAAATTATTATTATCTAACAGATTTGCAATGATATTACCTCAAAATTTAAAGTGAATAAAGTTTGAGATGCATAAAAATGTTCTAACAGGGCACTGGTCCTATTCAACATTTAATTACATAAAATTGCTGGATGATGATCTGGAGGGACAACTATTTGAATAATAATTATTAAAATTCCCAGAAGAATAGATTAAATAGTCAGTAGAAATATGGAAAAAGAAACAAGTTAATAATTATGTTTTAAACATTAAAATGAATTTAAGAATGGTTCCAAAGAGAATCAAACCCAGAAATAATGAACCAAGATTCAGCAAAATTTGAGCAAAACTAAATCCCCCCTCTAACCTATCTACTTCCCTCTGATAAGACATGATTAATATGTTGTCCAAATTTCCTGGTCAAGAGACCTAATTCAGGTTTTGTTTACATTAATACTATTTTTTACAGAT